GGCAGCGTGTCACCGCGCGTCACTCCCGGATAATCGAAAATGGGCAAAGAGGCGGGAGCAGGTTGCTGAAGCCACGCCCACCTAGCTCGACGGTGGTGACAGCAGCGGCAATCCACCTGTCACTCAAGTGGCCACGCCCTTAATTATGCAGAACTTTAAGGCTTAATATAATTTAAACGGATGAGTTATAAAAAAAATTCACCCCCCTCACAGTTGTCATGAAGGGCAAAATTAGCTATATAGCCCAAAATAATTTTTTGAACCAGGCTGCAAACGTTTTTTTCTGCTGTAAAGCATTTTAACATGGGGAGTCTATGGGATTGACTCCCTTTTGCAGCCAGCCTCTATGAATTAGTTTAAGTCACTTCCTTGTTGGCTTCACTAGAGAGAGGGGAGGTTGCCGCTTGCTTAAGACTAGTTTTGTGGTCCAGGGTCACATATGATTGGTTGAAAACAGACTCACATCACTGGAGGCACATGCAAACTTCTCCGAAATCATGAAAGGCACTCCATCCATAGCTGAAAGGTCAAAAAGTCAGTATTAACCAGAGTTCACCAGACATAATATATTTTGCCTTGCACAGAAAGCCACAAAATGTTAAGAAATCATTGGCTGATGACTTCTCCGAAGTAAAATGACCACAAATTACCTCAAATTATTTGTAAATTGCCTTGGATTAAAGCATCTGCTAAATAAAACTAAACAGACATTTTTTCCATGAATGTGACAAACGAAAAGTGTGCGGTAAGAAACAAGAGCTCAGAACAGAAGGAGAGGTATTCTGACTCATCACTGAACACCATCTGGAACAGTTCAACAGATTCCACCTCCAGAAGGGTTTATTATTACATCCCTAATGACAGCAGTCATGAATCCACACGCATGCATTGGCCGTTACTCTAGATTTCAGAGGATTATTACACACAACGGTAACCGACCGCTTTCTCACTGACCTTCATCTCAAATGTGAGGCGCTCTCTCATGTCAAGCATTCCAGAGATGCAAAATATATCCATTATATAATACACTACCGTTCAGCAGTTTGGGGGCTGGAGAGAATTTTTAAAGTTTTTGAAAAAGTCACATATGCTTACCACCAAGGCTGCATTTATTTGATTAAATATACAGTAAAAATTGTGAACCATTATTATAAATTAAAATTACTTTTTTTTTATTGTAATATATAGTAAAATGTAATTTATTCCTGTGATCAAAGCTGAATTTTCAGCATCATTACTCCAGTCTTCAGTGTCACATGATCCTTCAGAAATCATGAAGGATGCTGATTTGATGCTCAAGAAACATTTCTGATTATTATCGGTGCTGAAAACAGTTGTGCTACTTCATATTTTCGCCTTTTTTATTTTTCAGGATTCTTTGATTAATAGAAACCAATTTAAAAAAGAACAAATTTTAAAAAGAACAAATTTTACATTTTAAAATTCATAAAATTTCTGTAACATTATAAATATCCTTACTGTCACTGTCCTTACTTTGATCAATTTAATGCATCTTTGCTGAATAGAAGTATTAATTCCTTTAAAAAAAGTTTTTAAAACCTAGTTTTTTAAGTAGCTGATATATAATATTTAATAGATACTTGGATCAGGGCTTACTTTTTCTAATTCAAACTTAGAGAGTAAATTGACAGAGTAAACACACATTTATTTTTTACTAATTTATAATAAACTGATGATTCATTTCATTCGTAAAAGCAGGTCAAATTCTAGACTGGAGCTCTAAGAACATTACTTTGTCACTCATTTGTGTTCTTAGGTTACAGCCCTCTCTACTTGTTAGTGTTGATGCGATATTGAGGGTGATGTGAAGCCGTTCAGTTTGGGTCAGGTGTGTTTTGTGTGGTTCTCGCACCAGATATGGCATAGAGGTTGGAGTTCTGGTGTTCAAAGTCTGGTCTGGTTGTGCTTTTTCTGAAACATGCCGGCAGGGTCATGGATATGTGCCTGCGAAGAAACACAAATGGAAAACAATTACCACTTAATCAAATAAATATTCAACATATCTTCCTTCTCAGACCTCACTATTATCACAGCTGCTTTCAAAGCATACAAAACATCACTGGCAATCTGTCACCTGACTGACAACCTTACTGATAACACAGTAAGGTGTGCAAACTGTGATATTTCCGTCTCACAGGCTGCATGATGAGATACTCATCCTAATAAAACAAACTGTTCACCAGATGATGCTAGAACCTTTAAATACAGAATTTTTTCTTGGTTTTTCAAACTTAATTTTTAGCAGTTGTGCTTTAAAGAATGTCAAAAATAGTTTTGATATTTTTAGCGGCGGTTCTTTAAATAGCACACCAAACAGTGTGCTTTGCTTTAGCTGTTAGACAGCTTGCAAAGTAAAAACTAGAGCCTGACTGATATGTTTTTTTTGGGGCCGATACCGATACCGATATTAGGGAGTAAAAAAGGTATCGATATATCGGCCGATATTCTTTGTGTATATTATAGTACAGTACCAGTCAAAAGTTTGGACACTTTCCCATTCATGTGTCCAAACATTTGACCAGTACTATATATAGAATACAGTATATACATAAACAGAATATATATAAATAAACAATTTTTTTGCAATGATCACTCAAATGTGGTGATCAAACACTTATAATGACATGACAAAGATATGTAATGGAGGCAGGGCATTTAACAATTTAACAATAAACTTTATTATCCAAAATGAGTCTGACATCAGTGCACTGAACAGTAAAGTTGAAGTTTAGAGAAGTGTGAAATAATATACCTCTGTAAATAAATACAATATAGTGAGTGAAGTGAAGTGACATGCGTGCTTTAGTTGCATTAGTGCTCTGCATTTATCCCATCCAAAGTGCACACACACAGCAGTGAACACACACACACCGTGAACACACACACGGAGCAGTGGGCAG